GAAGAACCTCAGTCAAGCGTGGAGACTACATATCTTAAGAGTTCGGACGACACCGCGATGCTTGGCGAGCTTGGTATCCAATTTTTCTCTCCTTAGTGATGGTCGTTGAGGCAATCACCGCGATCGAGACGTTTGGTGTTTTCTATGGGGCGAGCACGACATCTGCGCTAAATGACTAAATGACTCGCGCGTGGCGGCCTGCGCTCCAAGCGTCCACGGGTCGGACCCTTTTGGTTATGACTTCACTCGAGTTTTCCTGTGGCTTGCCAAGTATGGTGCGGTTTCCGTCGGTTTGATGGACGCTTCCGCGAAAGGTTGCAATGGATGCGCCATTTCGACATGAGATGTGGAAAGCACGTTATGTTGGGGGTGCCTGAAGACGGCAGAGTGGTTGACACCCGCGGACGGCGAAACGGGGGAAACAAGGACCACGACAACATGTCGGGCGCCTTGCCTTCTAAAGTCTACATGTGCCCATCAATTACGCACACCGTTGCTGATACTCGACTCTATCCAGTCCTTGCAGCCCGAATGTCTCTTCACCGCTCTACTACTGCTCTTCGACGGAGGATAGATAATTTCTTTGCACATAAACCGTCATTATGTTCCCAGCGACTAGACTTCCCTTCCTATTCCACGTTGTTCCGTCAAGCTTCACCTTTGCTTTGGCAACATTCGAAAGTATTTCCTATTCACCGAAAAGAGAAGGAAGTCAGGATCAGAGAACAATAGTGCCAACATTAACCCAGCATGAAATTTTCGTAACCATTAAACTAATCGTATATGATCGTACTTCCAGCCATCCTCAACTTCAACCTCAAACGCGAGCGGCGACGAAGGCGGCAGCAGTAGGAGCATCGATCTCGTAGTTCCTGTGCTCAGGAGTGATGATGATGCCGTTGTCGCAGATGTTGTCACCAGCATGGCAGATGATGAGAACCTTGCTAGCAGCAACAGAGCCGAAAGACTCGTCACGGTCAGCATCGCCGAATGTTACAACGGCGGTGACACGCGAGGCGGCAGAGGCTGATAGCCTCTGTGTAGCAGTGTGCACGAGTTGTGCGCCCTGGGAGTATCCGGAGACGACGATCTTGGTCGAGGGGCATCGGGTAATGGCCTAGGTGGACAGTCAGCATCGTACCGATGCATCAATAGTCATGATGACACTTACTTGGTTGATCAAGTTGAACATAGTGGTGGCACCCGCGGCGTCGCCTCCAGCCAAGAAGCCAATGACGTTAGCCGGGTAGGTAACGCCTTGGATGGCCAAGTTGCTAACTCCTCCGACTCGCGCAGCCAGAGCATTGAAGAAGGTCGGGCCTTCGGAGTTGGCCTCGCCTACATTACCGGCTAGAAAGGGTATTAGTATACAATTCGCCTACTATCAGCAGAGAGATCTTACCTTGGGTAGTACCACGAGCGTAGATGACAGTTACGCGGCGGCAGGCGGTACCGTCAGTCAGTTGGTTGTAAGTGTCGCCGCTGAACTGGCGCTTGGTAAGGTCACGTGTTTCAACGTCCTGGTTCTCAAGCTGTGCCGCGTACTCCTCGACAGTGAGGTCTTTGTCGAGGAGGTCAGTGATGGGGAAGCTCACCCCGCTCGCAGGCGTTGGCGCAGCGAGGGCAGTGGTGAGGATAGCCGCAAGGGCAAGAAGGGAGCGAGCGCAAGTCTTCATGATGAGCGATTGTCGAGGGCGGCCGAGATGAAACGAAGGAAGTCTGAAGAGGCTGGTAGCGATGATCCACCAAGAGTAGGTGGAATGTTTGACCTTTTGTATCCTGAGCCATCGTCCTACCGAAGCATAGCGAGTGTGGCCATAACCACTTCAGTACTATCTCCTACGCTACTGCATCGTGTCTTGCAAGTACATTGGCAAGCCATGTCATCAGACCTTACCTACATGCCTATTTCTGCCAGTTCAATCTCCTCCTCCGCTTCGTTTAGCTGGACAGTTCTTGTTTACCGCCGTCGACACCCAATGACTACACCTGATCCGTTCACGTTGACCAGTGATTGCCTAGTTCCTGTCCGACGCTTTAAATGACATGCATTGTGATGCATCGGGCCTTTATTGTGTACTCCTAGTTTGGCTTTTCACTCCGTGTTTGGTGTTGCTGCCAGTCTTGTTACCTTCTTCTTTGGAGTTAGCACGTTCATGAACCCCAGGTACCACCGGATATCTCGAAACACGTGGGGTAGACATGGGGTTCCAGGACGAATAGAGAACATTTCCACAGCCGATGCTGCGCAACGTGAGAACCATCGACGATACGATTCGTGCAGCCGAGGCATGTCAAGCTTGTTGCGGCGCTACGAGGCGTCGATCAGTGAGAAATCTTCGATGCAGCGCCGGGAAGCAGCCGCTGCTGCATATCGTGAGTGTATAATCATAACCTCTGCTGACAGATACTTGTGCTCATGGAATGTCACTGTCATCGAGTCGCATTGTTGTAATTTGGTGGCTTCCCAGTCAATGCGATGATGTCACGCCAAGCTTTGGGGTTAGCGCCATCTTTGCTATCTTGTCCAGATGTTCTCCCTTCGATTTCGACTGACCAAGCCGATGTGCTCACCAGACTTCAATCACGACATTTGTAGCGGTTTTGAAAATACTGCACAATCGATGCAGATGTGGTTCGCAAAGCGCGACACAAACTGCGTGATCGAGACCCCTGGCTCCCAGCCACCTCGAAGGTAACTAACACCAGCACTGCCCTCGCGACCAGACAGCCAGAAGAATGGACAGCGTCGCGAGGCCGCAGTCGCTTTACTAATGGTCTTTCCTCCGGAAGATGACCGATGTTATCGCATATCGTCGCAAATGGTCGGAAGCTCAATGGAGAACCCCGCACACGGTACCCGTTGCCAAGCTGAGCATGCAGCAAAGCTGTTGAAGTCTTCCCTAATTCTCCTTCTGGCGTCTTGGTAGCATTACGAGCTTCCACTTACGATACAGATCGGCGCTCGCGAAAGCCATGATAGCAAGAGTTGCATTTCTCCGATGACGGCAGTCACTGCGGTATCGCGAGATGTTGGAGATACCGGCAGTCGACAGCCTGTCGCGAAGAGTGGGATGGCGAGAATGGTGGAGTATAAAAGGTAGGAATAGAAGATTTGGGTAAGATCTCTTGTATCGTCAAGGCCAGTTCTCTAGATCGATCAATATGCGGTCTACGTCCATCCTCGCGGTCTGTGCGGCAACACTGCTGCAGACGGCTTTCTCGTCACCTATCCACGCACATCATCCTCACCAGTCATTCCCGAGTGCGCAACAATGGCCATTGCCCGTCGTTGGAAAGGCGTTAGAGCAACAGATGCCGGATGAAGACCTTCAGGACATCATTTCGCAAATATCGCGCGACAACATCGAGGCTACGATCCGGAAGCTGGCATCATTCGGCACGCGTCACACCCTGTCAAGTCAAACTGACCCGAACCGAGGCATCGGCGCTGCGAGAACATGGCTCACGGCTAAATTTCAAGAAGCGGCAGATGAGAGCGAGGGAAGGATGACCGTAGACTGGAACAGCTTCATCAAATACCCCGGAGACAATGAGCGCATCATCTTCCCAGTAAACATCACAACCGTCATCGCAACACTGAAAGGCAGCGAGGACCCCGATCGCGTCTACGTAACAGGCGGGCATTATGACTCGCGCAACAGCGACCCCATCGACTACCAAGGCGACGCACCCGGCGCCGTAGACGACGCCTCAGGCGTCGCAGTCTCTCTCGAACTCGCCCGTATCTTCGCACACTACAAGCCCAAGACAACCATCGTCTTCACAGCCTTCGCCGGCGAAGAACAAGGTCTCCTCGGCGCCGAGAACCTAGCCCAAACCTACAAGAATGCATCCGTAAATGTAGCAGGCATGATAAACCTCGATATGGTGGGCAACTCCAAAGCCTCAGACGGCACCATCGATCCCTACAACATCCGCCTCTTCTGCCAGGGCACACCTCTGACTGAGAACTCTACAAAGATGACTTCGCGTCTCAGCATCGGAGGCGACAACGACAGTCCTGCTCGCAACCTAGGTCGCTTCATCTACGAAGTCGCATCGAATGCTTTCACAGAGATGACTGTGCGCCTCATCTACCGCCTAGACAGATACAGCAGAGGCGGCGACCACCGCCCCTTCCTTGAAGCAGGCTACACAGGCGTTCGCTTCGTCCAGCCCAACGAGGACTACACGCAACAGCACCAAAACGTTACCGTGCGAAACGGAAAGCAATATGGCGACCTGGTTGAATGGCTAGACTTTGAGTACAACACGCGCGCCGCCAAGGTCGTCGCATCCACTATGTGGAGTCTAGCCAATGCGCCTGGTGAGCCAACGAATGTCGGTATCAACACCACGACGTCCGACAACTTCAGCCAGTTTAAGTGGGATGCGCCGAAGGGACTGCCCGTTGAGGGGTATGAGATCCTGTATCGTGATACGATTGAGCCGCATTGGACGAATGTGATTGAGGTGGGGAATGTGAATTGGTTCAATCTTACTTCGGCGACTATTCATAAGGATAATGTCATTTTTGGGGTGAGGAGTGTAGGGAAGGGAGGATATAAGAGTCCGGCGGTTCTTCCGTTTCCTTTTGGGTGCTCGAGGAACTGTTAGATGAAGTGCAGAATTGTTATAGTTGATTGGAATGAAGATCACTATTTACTTTTTGAGAGAGCCGTTGCTCCAATCTCAGTTCAGCCATGTGCAACTCCTTATCACTTCATGCACGAACGATGTGTCTTGCCGGTGATCCGAAATGCCTCCCGTTCCTTGCAGATCCCATTTCGGAGACGTCAATCCCACATATTGGCTGTGAGCTTCAGCTAGAGAACCGCGGTACATCACCTTTATCAGGTGCCTCCAAGCGCTAGCACGCATATGCGTATGCTCCTGCTACTTGCGCCGACTGTCTTCAGGTACTTCCCAGGTCTGAGCACCTGCTTCTCTTCACGCAACACTCTCGGCCGCCTTGATCACTCCTGGATATCATGTGATCACACGTCGTCGCACATCCCAAGAGAGTGCCGTAAGTGGAACCACATACCGAACAGGCTACCGGAACTCGGTCCAGATTGTTGGCTAGCAACCCTAAGATGCTTCGATATACCACCTTGATCAAGACAACTGATCCTGCGAATACCTTGGGTGAGGAGGTCGATCGGATCGTCGATGGCATACGAACAAGAAATGATGGTGTCTTCGGACGTGGTCTTGGCGTGGTATGTGGCGCGTAGGACGGTACCATGACCGTTCATCCATATGTTTGGAAGAGGCCGGTTGGCTTCCAATGGATACTGCTCCAATACATCTGACAGCAAGAGCAATACTGCACTCTGAATGTGATGCCACATGATCGACCGTGTGCCGCTCATCCCGCTATCGGATCCTTGAATAGTGATGCTAAGGTCCCCATAGGCGCGTGTGAATGTATGTAAAAGTTTAGTGATGTTGATACGAAGATCCGCGACAGGCTTTGGTGTAGAGAGCTTGAACATCAAAACCATGTTGATAGGACACTGCCCCTCTCTGCGGAGGTACGGAACGACCAGATTCGAAAAGTTGTCAATGTTCAACATCTCTTGTAAGGCCTTAAAGCCGTTGAAGTCGGTCGTGTCTTTCTGGGTAGACATACGAATCATGATCTCGTCGTATACTCGCGCTTTCATGAGGTCGATGTCGTTCCGTAGCGAGGTATTGACTCCGCTGAGGCCGACGTGGTAACCCCGGGCTTTGTTGATATCCAGGTCGAATGTGACGTTTGTGTCGGATGCGCGTGCGTACGCGTTGATGGCCGACAGGAACTCTTCAGGCAAGGACAGAAGGTTTAACTGTTCAGATTCTTTCCACTGAACCTTGGAACCATGGTCTGAGATGTCGAACCATCTCTCCGGATCCGGGAAGGAACGTGATATATCAGAAGCATCGTATTGGACGAATCCATGATGGTCAAACTCACTGTACCAGACGATTATTGATGAGACCAGGCCCGAGTATCTGGCATATTGCCTGAGGTTGAGAACGTCTGCGGTGCCTAACTGAAAGAGGATATTGTTCATGGGATCCGCTGCAGTGACTGGATCGTAGAGTTCAGCGCTCTTGTTCCGTCCTATGTACTCCGAAGATCCGGAACGAACGAAGGCAAATTCACATTTGGCCTGAGGGTTGTTCCAGATGAACTTCAACAGCGGTAACAGATTGTATCGTCGATATGGTGCATCTGCGTCCATGCTTACGCGAGATAGGAGCTGATAGTGTGATCCAATTCCCGACAGCCATGTGCAGGTAAAGTGCATCTGACGTTCGAGGAACCGAGAGAAGAAGAAAGTGTTCTGGCCGTAGAGGACACCGACGGCTTCATGGTAGACTTGCCGGCATGATAGTAGAAGGTCGGTGCAACCTGCGAAGACATCACACAAATCTTCATCCCTTACTTGCTGCTCGACGCTACCGTGCGTATAGTGAATGCCATGACTCCTTTCCCAAAGTTCCACATGCGCCTGGCCGTCGTCTACGATAACAGGCCGGTCTCTCTTGAACAGGTACTCGTAGATGCGGTTGCGGATCTCAGGCGGTAGAGTGGTGAGGATGCTGGACGCGTGGGGATCGGCAGGGCCGGATGTTGTTTTCGGAATCTCGATGACGGTGCGAGTCGCCATCGTGTGCTGCCTGTCGAGTGGCCGCAGCAAGTCGAGATGCTGCTGCAGGTTAATTGACGCTGGAGAAAGATTGCAGAAGGAAGTTGACGCTGGGTGGTACTGCAGTTTTAGGCAAACAGCGGTCCAAGCGCGGAGCTAGCGCGAGGTGGAGTTAACCTTGGAAAGTGAAGGTGAGAGAGACCTCAAGACGCGCCTGCCACATTAGTCTCTCTTGACGAGAGAATCAGTCACGCTTGAGCTTCAGCAACCCGTCGTCATTCTCAATTAAGGACGCTTTCGCCGGTCCCAGAGCTCGTTTCAGGTCACTATTCCTCTCCTTCGCTACGGTAAGCAGCTCAGGACAATCCACCGCATCCCAGCCTTCCAGACCGTGAACGAGCACAGCCAAGATCGAGTTCTTGAAGAGATAAGAACGTCTTCTGCTACCCAGCGCCGTCAAAAAGAGAAACAGTGCGGAGTACACGAGGAGCGCCAGCGGATACGCAAGCCAGGCCCATCTCACATCGACGAAGATCTCCGGCCCGTAAGCGTCACTGGTGTTGTTGATAGCTGCGAAGTTGCCGGGGCCTTGTATGACTTTGCTTCCTACTTGCGCAAGGCCTTGGAAGAAATATGACCATGTATGGTGTAGAAAATACTCGAAGAAGTATGTACTCAGCGTCGTGGATTTGAGGATACGCGACGTGGAAGCGGCGAGCCAGAGGCGCGAATAGTTGCCAAGGTAAAATGTCTCGTTCAGGTCTTCTGCACGGAATGCTTGATCATATCCAATTGCCACCTTATAGGGGTCGTCACCAGTCGGGATCAGTGGGAACTCTTCTACCGAGCCGTAGTTTACGACGGTATTCCGTACCGTGATGTTGTGATAGCGCTTCGCACAATAGCTGAGTTGGCAGTGAGATATCGTTCCGTTTACCAACCCGAGTCGATCAGTTTCGCCAACACGAGTGAGATCCGATGTCGACTTGAAACAAGTGAACACGGAAATAGCCTGTAGCGGTAGTTTGAAAGGTTCCATTGCGACCTGGTAACCTTCGAAGTTTCCTACGCAGTACTCAATTTGTGGTGGGAACTCAGTCGATAAAACAAATGTTGGACTGCCATCTGGCGCAGAGAAGAGGCTGTATGTTCCATCGATCTTGCTGCGTGTCAAGCGGATGATACCGAATTGATAGCCGCCGGATGCGGTATCGCCCGGGTCAACAGCGGTAATACTGGGATAGCTCTCGTTGAGGTAGCGGCTCGTGGTAATCCAGAGCACCAATTCCGGATACCCTGACTTCTTGATATTGCACATTCTCCCCCACTGATAAGGCTGGGTGGCTGCAACATAATCTGTCATCGCGGTATACGCGGTGTAGTTGAAGTAAAAGTGTTGATATGTGGCATTGTAGCTGGATTTCACAAAATTGCCACATCCTCGGAAGTCTTCATCTGCAAGGTTACCGCCGTTCCAGAAATCGCCATCGAAAGTAACATCTTCCGAGCTACAGGACTCGCAAAGACCCAGAGAGGTGAACTCATCAAGTTTGCATTCTATCGTTGGGCAGTATACGTTACTCAGCAGGTTGATGTCTTGCAAAGCGACGTGGTCTGTGAAGTCGACGGTCAGAGGATGCACTATGCCTATCATATGGTTAGTGAAGCACGACTTTTAATCCACGCAAAGACATACCAATGAGATCAGCTTTCTCTATACTTGATGCGTCTGAAAACGAGTTGCTTGAGCTTACAGTTCCGGTAGCGTTGACTAGCAGTGCTGGTTTAGAGTAGACTCTGAGCACTTGCTGTGTGAAGGGCTCAAAGCCAAGCGAAAGGATCGTCAGAGCTGCCCCAAAAGACGCCAATGCAGCGGACTTCTTCAATCGTAGCTTGTAGACAAAGGTGAAGGCTCCCCATGGTCCGCGGGTAGCCACATCAAAGTCATAAAGGCGATTGACAGGCTTCGATTGGGGTGTCTGGAAGTAGGTCCACTTCAGCTGTCCGATGCATTCGGCAAGAGGAACTAGCAATGCCGACTTGGCGATGGTGGAAAATACCGCTATCAAAGAGTTTGGCTGGATGGGGAGTCTCCAGTCTCTCATGGGTCTGCCATCCATGGTGAAAAGGATAGCCAGGATCAATGCCATGCACACAGTACTCAGTAACAAGGCGGCCACTTCCCACCACCAGCCCATTGAACGTGGATGCTGTGTGGCTGAGGGTAATGGCTTGCCTGGGGGAGACGCGGGGCATTTTCGAGGCTGTGTAGTCGACATGGAATCGGGACTGCTGATTGTGGAAGGCGACTCTGCTCTTAACGAAACTGGAGAGACAGATTGATGTGTGAGAGGTTGCGTTGGAAACGATACTAGCTCAGTCATCGCAAAGCTAGCGAAGGAGATTCGACCATCTGCCATGAGCTGGTCAGGCGCTGGAGGTCCTTGGGTACTAGACATGTCTGTCGCGTAGATTGAGGAGAAAAAGATTAGAAAGCTGACAGAGGCCGGTAAGTGGAAGTCCTTGAAAAGTGGTACAAGACAGTTCGCGCCTTATACTCGATCATCGTCGCACGATACAACGCGCCGTTATTGCGGCGTTGTCAGCCTCCTATCGTCTTTCGTAGTGCCGCCGCCAACTTCGAGCCCCCGAAATTTGGCGTGGAGGCCGAAAACCACACTGATGGTATCGCAGTGGCATATCTCCGCCCCATTCTCTTGCAAGACCCCCGATGCATTACGAGTACCTTCGGGTTGTACAAGAATGCGTTGAGATAAGCCGAGCAGAATGCACAACACTGGCCCCTTCTTCAATCCAGCAGCGACTAGCTTACCGAGACCAACGAAGAGGGTTCCAAAAATTCCTGGAAGGCCCAGAAGGCCTACCAGAGCAGTCAATATATGTAGTTTTAAACCAGCAAAATTGCTACCTCAGACGAATCTTCACTGGTAAGCAAATCACCCCTGCACTAGGATGAGGATGGAAGGAAGAGGCTGAGAGTTTGGCGGATTATATAGGCGGAGGGATCGCAGGCAGCAGTCTGTCACGGGTGCGGATGAGGCGTGGTTGGGACCCGTAGGGCTGCAGGCAGCTGTTCGTCACGGGTTCAGATGAAAACTTAGAAACGTTGGGTGTGGTGGATCGAAGGATAGATGGAATGAGGCAGCCACGGCGTACGCGGACTCGATGTGTCAGCAGGAGCCACGTGATCCTAGTGACTGCCCAATCGGCTCCAGGTATAGTCGAGGCGGAACGGCAGGGGTCCGATTCTCGGCATATCATCTCGCCCACAATCCCTCCATGGTACACCCTCAAACAACAAAAAGTAAATACCACATCTTCACCACCCCTGCATAGCAAATGCGCTTCCGTGGCGCACTGGAAGAAAGTCGTCGCCGGCAAGAGCGCGACGACGGAAATGCTAGCAAGTCGCACAGGCTTGGCCTGCATAGCAAGGGCCAAGTTGGAGTAACCCTGCAGTAGGCATGGCAGTGGAACAGACAGCTGGACCAGTCGTTCCTCGTGCATGCTTCGTCCCGCGGCATCCATGTCGAATACTCGGGCCCGGATAATCGGCGGGCGGGCGGACCTATTGGTCTCTCATGCGCTGGGTTACAACTCACCCGCCGTCGCAGGTGGGATTACACCAGGCATGCTTTGACAGCGAAGAGGCCGGCGATTCTCGTGTGTACCGTCGGCGAGGGTTGACAGGTGCAGCGACGCTTCTGCTTAGCAGGTGTGCTAGGTGGCGAGCAGAATGTTCAATAGGGTGGCCGAGGTCAGTCTGGTGAAAGAGCAAAAACTGGGGATCGTCGGTGTGAGCTTTCGCATAGCGGCCTTCAGGGTCTGGTCCCTGTTGCGACATCTGTGGCCAACTGTGAGGATCCAGAATAATAGCGAGCCATAATCGTGCATGTGCTGGCGGTGAGGGCAGAGAGCCTTGACGCGAGTAGAGTGCATGTCTTATACCCGCGTGCTCCCCTTTGATCCCATCTTGCTCGCTCTTCCCCTGCTCCTCGCCGGCCTCGCCTTTCAGACTTCTCTAGCTTGTGTTGTGTGGTGACGGCTAGCTGCACCGTTTTCCCACGTCGTCGCCGTGCCGCATTCTCGTCGCAAAACGCCGTCGACCCTTCCCGACCAATCTCGCAGCAAAAGCCGGGGTCTCCCCTCTGGCCCGCAAGATCTGCAGGATAGCGCAGTCGACATAGGATTCGAGCGATTCCCTCTGTGCATTCAGGGATTCTGCAAATTACCATCCACGGGACTTTCGGAACCTCCACGCGCAAGACAGCAGAGTCAGCTGTCAGGTACCCGGTGTGCACCATTCCGACGAGCGTCTGATAGCTAGTGGGAAAGCTAGGCGGCGTCAGAACGTGGGAACCTTGGAAACAGCGGTCACGCCCGAGGTCAGCACACACACCTGGCCGGCCCCTTAGTAAGGAGGAAGTTAGAGAAGGTGCGGGTGAGGCGGTCACATTCTGCGACAACCCACTTTCCGCCTTGTCCTTTCACACTCGAGCACCCAAACGCGCAATCTGCGAGCGACGGCGACACCTCATCTATCCACGCTTCCCTCTCGCACGGCGGCACACTTCCTACCCACAAACTTCGCCTTGACAGAACCTTCAAAGAGCGCCACATTTCACCAAAGCAGCCATGCACCGCAAAAACCCCATCAGCGTGCTCGTCTACAACACGCTCTTCCCCACGCCCTCGCCCACAGACCCGCCCTCCTTCAGCGCGCACCTCTCCAAAAACCTCGTCGGCGAAGTGCGCATCGAAACAGCAAACTTCTACGGCTCGCTCGACACAATCGAAGCGCGGTACCCAGGCCTAAACTACGCCTTCCAACCGCACCGAAAACGTCTCGGCCGCTTCCCACACCACAAGCGACTCTTCGACGCATTCGACCGTCTCGGGCTAACCGAAGCCGAAATCCAAGGCTTCTGCAGATGGGAAGGCACACTCTGGGCACGAGAGCGCTATGAGCGAGACGAAGGCGTACGCGTGGTCGACACGACAGGCGTAGACATAGGGGAATGGGTCGACACACGCCGAGCCTACTCATCACGCCACAACAACGGCGCAGGCATCAACGTCAAGACGGACATTGAAGTCGAAATCGAAGAACTAGAACACCACAACCACCTCCTGCACAACCCGCTCACCCGGCAAAACATGCAACCGCCCAGCCACCACCACAACGGCGGCGACACAGAAATGCCCGACTCCTCCTCCTCAGCCGAAGACGACGACGACGACGACGAAGACGGCGCAGCAGAAGCGTCAGACTCGGAATCAGACTCGGACTCCACATCCAACGAACTCTCCTCCTCCGTCGGCTTCTCCCTAAACGCACGCCTCCTCCACGCCGCCGCCCTCCGCGAGTCGTCCGGCGCCCTAAACATACCCATGGACCCAGAATGGGAACAATACCTCAAAGAAGCGTCTGAGCGCGGCGAACTCAACATCGACGCGACGAGAGAGGCGCTGCGGACGATGGCAGGCCAGATCGCGCAGTTGCACCAGAGCACCGTTGAGGCGGAGGGCAGCGAGGCGGTGCCGCAGACGTTTCAGCCGAATGCGGCTCCGGCTTAGGAGTCCGTAGACGCACGGATGCAGATGGAAATGGAAATGGAAATGGATGCGCAGGCCGAGGCGGAAATACAATGGATGATCGACGAGGGCGTCGAAGCAGCGGTTATTGTTATGTTTCCCGATGTGTTTCTCACACCACAACCACGGAGGGCATGATTACGAAGGACACGACGACGGGAACGATCAGGACGAAGACGCAGTCAGTGGTGATAGGATACCCATCTTTAAGGATGGTACTTGTTGTTGGCTTTGGCCTTTTGCCTCTCCTGCACTGCATGGCGTTTCTGCTTCTTTCTATACAGGGCAGGCGTTTGATGGGCATTTCGCGAGATACCCCAGATTTCCTGCTGGGCTTTTCTTGTTTTGTTGGGATAATGGATGGTTCTTGTTATCATTTTATAGATTGGTGAGGGGGCTTTGGATGGGCAATGAGGCATGGAGGGAGGCATGCACGGCATATAGTCATAATCCATCATGTTCAGATTTTCAAGATTTTCAAGATTGGTGTTTGTGGTACTCTTGTTTCATTGTGTGCTTGATGCTTCTCCTTATGAGGAGTGATGGTTGCTCCGATTCCTATATGGAGCTACGGAGTGGTTGCTTGTACTCCTGGCCTTCTCATGAAGTCTCCTCTCTTGGAGTCTCGAATGTAGCTAAACATGACCCAAAGCAGCATCCTTCGTGAAGCCCTGCGATCGTCCGCGGGTATCACCGGCTATGACCACATTGGTATGCCAGACGCCCTTGAGGAGTGTGGACCATGGTTATGAAGACGTGACGTGTTGTAGTATTATGAGATACTACACACACCGTCGCCTTAACGCCTTCCAGAGCTCCCGAAACCGAATCCGCCAGGGCCCCTCTTGGTACCCCTTGTGATCCTGCCACTACTATCCTCGTCAATCTCCATAGCGTCGTCACCACCCATACCCATGAGATTCCGCTTGCCGGTGTTCTTCTCGTCACCGACCGTCATGACTGCCTCAAAGGCCCTCTCCTTCTTCCGACGCATCTTCTCGCGATCCAACGCCTCTTTCTTGACCTTTGCGACTTGCGCCTCCAGATCTGCTAGGGCGGAGTCGCACCGTTGTGACCATGACTGTAGGGTGTTTTGAAGAGCGGGGAGGGATCCTGGGGCGAGGTCGCGGAGTGGCGAGATGGATGTTACGGAAACGAGGGAATGTGCGGGATCGAGCGTCGCAGTGATGAGCCCGGAGTAGATGGCGGTGGTGATGAGCTCCTCGAGAGCGCGGGTGGTGGGCAGCTCGAGAGCTGTCATGAGATGTTTGTATGTGAGGGTGGCGTGCGAGTGTGAGAGCGGCAGTAACGAGAGCAGTAAAAGCTTCTGGTGTTGCTGTGCTGAAAGTTTTGGGAGATTCGCTTGAGCTTTGCGCTGTCAGTACACAACTTGATGGCTATGGTATGATCAACGCACCCTTGTAGTCTTCCCAGGTTCCCCAGGCGAAGATCTCGAGCAGGGTAAGATACGACGCATGCTCCTCTGAATTCCGTAGGTTCTGGA